GTGGGTGAGAATTAAGGGGCAGGCTGGCAGGGGGGATACTGTTGTAGGTGTCTGTTACAGACCACCAGATCAGGGTGAGGAAGTTGACGAGGCCTTCTACAGGCAGCTGGGAGCGGCCTCACAGTCACAGGCCATGGTCGTCGTGGGGGATTTTAACTTCCCTGATGTTTGCTGGTAGGACCACTCGGCAACCCAGCCACAGTCCAGGAGGTTCCTCCAGTGTATGGATGATAACTTCCTCCTGCAAATGGTGGATGAGCCGACCAGGAGAGGAGTGCTGCTGGATGTCATCCTCACTAACAAGGAGGATCTGGTCGAAGCGGTAAGGGTTGAGGGCTGCCTTGGTTGCAGCGACCACGAGATGGTGGAATTCAGGATCTTGTGTGGTAGGACCAGTAGCATAGCAAGTAGAATTGCAACCCTGGACTTTAGCAGGGCAAACTTTGGCCTTTTCAAGCAATTACTAGGGGAAATCCCATGGGCAAGGCTGTTTGAAGGTAAAGGGGCCCAAGATAGTTGGTTGGCGTTCAAGGATTGCTTTTTCTGAGCTCAAGATCAGAGCATCCCGACACGTAGGAAGTCAAGGAAGAGGACCAGGAGACCTGCGTGGCTAAATAGGGAATTGCTGGGTATGCTCAAGTGGAAGAGGAGAGTTTACAGGTCATGGAAGAAGGGGCTGGCCACTTGGGAGGAATATAAGGCTGCTGCTAGAGGATGTAGGAAGGCAGCTAAGATGACTAAGGCCTCCTTAGAATTAAACCTGGCAAGAAGGGTCAAGGACAGCAAAAAGAGCTTTTTCAAATACATGGCAGATAAAACTAACACCAGAGGCAATGTAGGCCCACTGATGAACGGGGTGGATGCCCTGGTGACAGAAGATACAGAGATGGCAGAGTTACTGAATGCCTTCTTTGTCTCTGTCTGCTCTGCTGCAGGCAGTCCTGAAGAGCCCTGTACCCCTGAGACCTTAGATGAAGCCAGGTCAACGGAGCGGTTTGCCTTAGTCGATGAGGAATGGGTTAGAGACCACTTGAGCAATCTGGACATCCATAAATCCATGGGTCCAGATGGGATGCACCCGTGGGTGCTGAGGGAACTGGCGGAAGTCATTGCTAGACCACTCTCCATCATCTTTACCAAGTCTTGGGAAACGGGAGAGGTGCCTGAGGACTGGAGGAAAGCAAATGTCACTCCAGCCTTCAAAAAAGGGCAAGAAGGAGGACCCGGGTAGCTATAGACCGGTCAGCCTCACCTCCATCCCTGGGAAAGTGATGGAACACCTTATCCTTGGTGCCATCTTAAGGCATATCAAGGATAAGAGGGTTATGAGGGGCAGTCAACATGGCTTCACCAGGGGGGAATCATGCTTGACCAATCTCTTAGCCTTTTATGAGGAAATAACACAGTGGATGGATGGTGGCAGAGCGGTGGATGTGGTCTACCTTGACTTCAGCAAAGCATTTGACACAGTCTCCCACAGCATCCTCACGGCTAAATTGAGGAAGTGTGGTCTGGATGATCAGGTAGTGAGGTGGACTGTGAACTGGCTGAAGGAGAGAAGCCAGAGAGTTGTAGTCTATGGGGCGGAGTCTAGTTGGAGGCCTGTAACTAGTGGAGTGCCTCAAGGGTCAGGACTGGGACCGGTATTATTTAATATATTCATCAACGATTTAGATGAGGGAATTGAGTGTACTATCAGCAAGTTTGCTGATGACACTAAGCTGGGAGGAGTGGCTGACATGCCAGAAGGCTGTGCTGCCATCCAGCGAGACCTGGACAGGCTGGAGAGTTGGGCAGGGAGTAACTTGATGAAATATAACAAGGGAAAGTGTAGAGTCCTGCATCTGGGCAGGAACAACCCCAGGTTCCAGTATAGGTTGGGGAACGACCTGTTAGAGAGCAGTGTAGGGGAGAGGGACCTGGGGGTCCTAGTGGACGACAGGATGACCATGAGCCAACATTGTGCCCTTGTGGCCAAGAAGGCCAATGGCATCCTGGGGTGTATTAGAAGGGCGGTGGTTAGTAGGTCGAGAGAGGTCCTCCTTCCCCTCTACTCTGCCCTGGTGAGACCCCATCTGGAGTATTGTGTCCAGTTCTGGGCCCCTCAGTTCAAGAAGAACAGGGAGCTGCTGGAGAGAGTCCAGCGCAGGGCAACAAAGATGATTAAGGGAGTAGAGCATCTCCCTTATGAGGAAAGACTGAGGGAGCTGGGTCTCTATAGTTTGGAGAAGAGGAGACTGAGGGGTGACCTTATTAGTGTATATAAATATATAAAGGGGGAGTGTCACAAGGATGGAGCCAGGCTCTACTCAGTGGCAAACAATGATAGGACAAGGGGTAATGGGTACAAACTGGAACACAAGAGGTTCCACTTAAACTTGAGAAGAAACTTCTTCTCAGTGAGGGTGACAGAGCACTGGAACAGGCTGCCCAGGGAGGTTGTGGAGTCTCCTTCCCTGGAGACATTCAAAACCCGCCTGGACTCATTCCTGTGTAACATTATCTAGGTGTTCCTGCTCCGGCAGGGGGATTGGACTAGATGATCTTTCGAGGTCCCTTCCAATCTCTAGCATACTGTGTACTGTGGGTGTAAAATAGAGAGTTTGAGTCCAATTCTCACAGTATTGACCGCTTGCACTAAAGTACAGCTGCTATTTAGACAGGTGGGTTTGAGTGGAGGGTTTGGGCCTGTTAGCAGTTCCTCAAACCATTTAGTCCTCTGGAGGTCCAAAAAGCCTCAGTGTGCACCTTCGCTGTGATGTTCCTTAGCTGCAACTTGTTCCCTTGTGCTTTTTGTGTCACACACTAAAAGATGTTGAAACAGGGCTGGCCAGTGGTTTTCTCAGTGGCTCATTTGGTAAAGAGGGGGACTTTGGAAATAGCTATTACTGTTTCCCTAAGGAAAAACAGGAATTTGATTCTTCATTAGTGAGTAAATATGTTTCTTCTGAGGGCCTCACAGCTGAGGTGTGCTAAGGGACTGCTGTTGTACAGAGCAGCCAAAGGATTGAGAGAGCTCCAAAGTGCTCTTCTCACAGCACTGGTTTCCATAACGTCCTGTCTGAGATGGCAGTGGAATGTGGCAGTGCACATGGCTGTGGACTCATTCCTGAAAAAAAATAAGGGAGATTTAGCTCAGAAGGAGGGAGCTGCAACTGCATTTCTTTTTCCCTTGTTTCTGTGTTGAGACCACTTGCAACCTGGAGACAGGATCATCAGGCTGATATACCAGAGAAATTGGGTGGGTATGGATTCAGGGGATGGGGAAAAAGGCTGTGTTTCCTAAGGGTGGGGCTGTGTGCTGTGTTATGTGGGGCTGAGACTGTGTATGGCAACAGTAGCAGTCCCAGGTACTGGTCACTATGTAGGTCTCCCCACCCCAGGTAAAGTTGTTGAGTCAGAGAGGTGTTTTGTTCCTTATCTGTGTCTTAATGTACAGCTGGTGTCATGCACTCAGGGAAAGCATCACGTACAGAGCTTCTTTTAGTTTCCTTATTGACTTGAAGGCTGCCCTGCCAAGCCAGTTTTTTCTCTATAATGGCAATTTATTTTTTCCAGGAGGAATTCAGGGTCATTTCAGATGGCAGCTGCAATGTGTGGTTGTCAGCTTGAGGGGAGCTGAGCAACTCAACCCAGAAGCCAGTGAGTGTTAAGAAACATCTGCTGCCAGAGGTCTTAGGAGAGCTCTAGCCATATCTCATGCAATCCTTCCCATGGTAAATTCTAGTGCCTTCCCTGTATAGATGTGTTCTGACCGTGGATTGAGCAGAGAAGAGTTGTTAGCGCTGTTTTGGAGGGGCAAAGAGGGGGTTATGCTGTCTCTCCCAGTAGGATGTAGAGCGGAGCAGCCCCTCCACTGCTTTGCACTGCTCCAGCCACTTCCCAACAACGGGTCTCAGTTTCTCAGAAATTGCTTTGCAGGAAGCATTTTTGAGCAGGTGCAGAAGCGAAAGCTCTTTTCTGCGTTCCAGACTTAAAAGGAACAAAGAAGGGACGGTTTGATTGTTCATTATGAAAACCTCTTCCTGTCCAGGTAGGCCTGTCTATATGGGTATTGGGAACACAGACAAGAATGAGTCTCACTGCAGCTGCTCCTCACTAGCAGGTTGCTGAATGCGGTTTTGGTCTGTCTCTGGACTGTTCCCTGGTCTCGAAAGGGGGTCCCCACTTTTTATCTACTGAGAGGTGCTGTTTGCCCTTGTATTGGGTTTGTGTGGCAAGATTTTGATAGCTGGGGGTCTACAGGGATGGCTTCATTGAGAAGCCTCCAGAAGCTTTCCCTGTGTCTGGAGGAGCCAATGCCAACTGGGTCCAAGACTGTCCCGCTGCTGGCCAAGGCTGACCCCACCAGTGACAGTGGTGGCTCCTCTGGGATAACATAGTTCCAAAGGGGAACAAAACCCCACAATATGGTAAATTCAGCCAGAGAGAGCAGCGTGAGAAAATGAGAGGCTGTGGAGTGTCCTGCCCTGGAGATATTCAAGAGCTGGCTGAACACTGTCCTGAGCAGTGTGCTCCCTGTTTGAGCAGGGAGGTTGCACTAGATGCCCTCAGGTGGTCCCTTTCAACCTCAACTGTTGTGTGAAATAACGAAGGCACTGTTTGAAGAAGCCTTAGTAGTCCCCACAAAGAAGATAAGCAGACCACAACATATGTGAAATACTGCAGAACAGCTCCTGGAAGCCTTTGTTCCATGGTCAGAACTCATAAATAACATTTTCTCTATTAAAGAGCAAATATAAAAGTGGCTTGTTGAGATTAATGCTACAGGTATTCACTTTTCAAAGGGCTTTGCCAAGGCTAATGAGCATTATTTTCCTTGTGTTGCAGATGAGTCTGGGAATTAGAGAGGTTTCTTTGGCTGTTGCAATGCATGGAGAAGCAGATTTACTCCTCAGGTGCCCATAAGCATGTTCCTGGAGGGTTTTCTGTCAGGTGTGGTTTTTCCCATGCTCTCCAGCTGCAGAATCCCAGGCAGCAATGCACCCTGCCCTTCCTGCAGCCTGGGAAGAAATGAAAGTGAAAATCCAGTGGTGTTTTAAAGAAAGGAGAAGTCAGTCGGGTGCCTTTTTCTGTGGGATCCAAGTGGCTTCTGCATCTCCTGTGCAGGGCTCTGCAAAAGGAGCTGAATGAACCGGGAGCTGGAAAGGCTGCTCAGGCAGGGAAAGGAAGAGGCACCAAGGCTTCCTCGGCTCCAGACCACTTTTGAGGTATTTGTACTGCCTTCTCCTTTAAGGGGTCCTGTCTTCTAGCCAGTCCTTTCTCTTACAAAATGTTGTTTCCTCTTTTGAAGTCGGCAGTTAAAACAGGCTCTGGGGCAGGAGGGAAATGATCAGTGTGTTTCACGTTTTTGCCATAAAGAAGAATGTGTGTTATTTGTGTGCATGATCTGGCTAAATATAAAATGCCCCATTTTCTGGCCCTGCCTGCCAACTTTCATGCAGTGCTGCCCATCTGAATGCAAACCCCCAACAGCTTCATTAAGTGGCACCCTTTTATGTAAGAGTGAGTGGCACAGAAGGAATGGAATAAATCTCTTAATGCATTTTCATCTTCATGTAATTACCAATAATGTTTCCTTCATCAAATTAACCTGTATTTTTTTCATCTTGCTATGTTTTGTTAGTATCTCCTTTTCCAAACTTGCCTGTCATACTGGCAAAGAAAGGGTAATTTGCCAGGAGCGTTGCAGTAGAAACCTTTGCAACTCTCCCCTCTCCCTGCTTCCAGTAAGAAGCTGTTGCCCAAGCTGGAGCAGACCGTGCATTGTTTTCCCTGTGGTTACTGGTCCACTCCCCAAAGGGAGCTGTGGAAACCCTGGTGGCTCTGGTTCTGAAAACTCAACAGAGAACCAAACCAGAAAGTGTCACTCAGTGAGAATATTTGGTTTAAAAAGTGAGAAATTCAAGCAGTGAAACTGTTCATTCTGTTTGTCTTAATGTGCTGCAAGCAGAACATAAATTGTTGGTAGTGTTTTCTACTAGTTATTGTGGAAAACCTGGTTAAGAGCAGTTGCTGGGAAGGTGTGTACTTACTCTACTCTCAGGATTATTGCAGAGAGATCTCAGTTTAAGCACAGAGTCCTGCCGAGTGCTTTCTGCACCAGCTCGTTGGAACTATGGAAACAAATTGCATCCAGGCTCAACCTGAAAATCGCTGGTTTGCCTCTTCTTGTGTTCTCATCCCCGTTGTGTTTTGCTTTGGTTGGTTGGGTTTTATTACAAAAGCTTGTTGAGAGTTCAGCAGATTCAGCAGCTCAACAAGGTGAAACCAGTAGTGAAAGGAATACAAAAAGTAGCTCTTACGTAAATGCTGCTCCTTTTCGAGGAAAGAACTTGAATGGAAATCAAAATCCATGGGATCCACTGAAGTTCCCTGATTTTTGTTTTGTTGTTTCCTTACTTCCTTCAGTACTATTATTGTTTTCAAGCTGTTGAAACTTGGCTCCTCAAACTCCCTTTGTGGTTGTGTTCCTGCCTTCCCATTTGTTTCCGGGTGGGACCCTCAGCAGCTTGAGACTAGCACAGGTATTAGGGATAAGCGGTTTTAACTTCTGCTCTGCTGGAGACTTCATATGTAATTAGAAATTAATGCCTAAATGCTTTGAAACTTCCTCAAGGTGCTTCTCAGGTAGTGATGTACCAAAAAAAAGTTGGTTTAACGAAGGCTTCAAACTGAAAGCTTCTGGGGGCAGAGCACTTTGTGTTTTCTAGAGCCAAGCTTGTGAGGAAAGTTGAGTGAATTTTCCAGATTTCTTTTTTCCTCTTTTGGATAAGTGAAACTTGGGTTTTCCTGAAACCTGTTTCACAAATTCACGGCAGTTTCATTGAAATGATTGAGGATTCATGGCTGACTAAATCCAGGGTATTTTTTTAAAGAAATAGTGTTTGCTCCTTTAATTTGAGCGATATTTTCCATATCTTTTAAATTGAAAAGTAGAATGCAATTTGACAAAGAATATTTCATCTTAGGGCAAGCAAAACATTCAGCACCAAACATAAAATCATAGAATCATAGAATAGTTTGGGTTGGAAAAGACCTTAATATCATGCAGTTCCAACCCCCATGCCATGGGCAGGGACACCTCACACTAAACCATGGCACCCAAGGCTCTGTCCAACCTGGCCTTGAACATCACCAGGGATGAAGCAGTCACAACCTCCCTGGGCAACCCATTCCAGTGCCTCACCACCCTAACAGGAAAGAATTTCCTCCTTATATCCAATCTAAACTTCCCCTGTTTAAGTTTTAACCCGTTACCCCTTGTCCTATCACTACAGTCCCTAATGAAGAGTCCCTCCCCAGCATCCCTATAGCCCCCCTTCAGATACTGGAAGCTGCTCTGAGGTCTCCACGCAGCCTTCTCTTCTCCAGGCTGAGCAGCCCCAACTTTCTCAGCCTATCTTCATACAGGAGGTGCTCCAGTCCCTGATCATCTTCCTTATCTAATTGTTTTGTGTGTTTTGAAAGTGACAGCAAGTCAAGATGTTATTTGTTGCATGTATTTACTGAGTGGTGTGTGCAAAGCCTCTGCCCAGAGGAGCCTGGAGGGCCTGGACATGGAGCCTCCTGCCCACAGGAGGCTCAGGAGGATTTACCTTTCCCTGCAGAAACACCTTTCCCTGCAGTTGTCTTTTGCTGTGTTTGACCCAGAGATAGAAAGGTTTGCAAGCCTGGTATTGCCAAAACCCGTCTCAGTATCGTAGCAGATAAGCAGCATGAGCACTTCTTTGCCTGCATTCCAGTTCTCTTGGCTAGTAGAAGCTTTACAGCACTTGGAAATTGTTTTCTAGGAAGATAATAAGGAGAGATAAGAATGCTGAATACTGCATTTTCTGTCCAAACAGGGAGATAACTGAGGGAGGAGCCTGGTGAGGCTGCCATGGGATCCTGGAGGATGTAGGAGAGCATCCAATGCTGCTGGTGATGAACACCCAGGGCAGGCCGATGGGTTTAGCCCACTTCATGCAGCTGTGTTTCCTGCTTCTAACCATTGCATCTTCCTGTCCAAGTGAGTCTCCTTGTTTGACGTCTGTGCTTTTCACTGCACGTTAATAGGTATTAACTTAATAAGCTATTAAGCTTATTAACTGTTATTAGAAAGCTCAGTTATGTCCAGTTAAAAATAAAGCTACAAAACCAGTAAGGGGAGAAAAGGAAATAAGGAGGTGAAGGCTGATTCATTTGACCTGTCACAATCACCTAACTTGGAGGGGTGACTTTCTGGTTCTGTCTGAAGTCAGATGAGGTGAGTCCTCTCTCAAAGAACTCTCATTCAGACTCTCCTGAGCTCTCTCCTGAGCGAGAGTCTGAATGAGTAAACCCCTTTTTCAGCTCTCAGCACCCAGTGCTAGCATATTCCAGCACTTCAGCCAGGCTGCTGGTGCAGTTTGGCTTAGCTGTGAAACTGTTGCCTGCAGGAATACTGAGCCGAATCTGTGACAGTGACTTGGGACACTGCATGTAGTCTGGCAGCTCAACTGTGATCTTCCTTGGTCATAGGTTCTGGATGTCTGCTGGAGATATCCCTAAGATTGTGCCAAGGAGTTTTGGAAGGAAAGCAAATAAGAATGGATGAGTCATCTGAGCCTGTCTGGGCATAGGACCTCCTTGCTCAGCAGGGGAAATGTCTTTCAGCTCACTTCCCAAGCTGCTACCAGTGGCAGCAGTGGAGGAATTATGTCATGCTTCTATTGAATTGTCCATTGGCAGACAGCATCCCTTAAACCATGACTGGGTTTGCCCACCCATTGTCTAACACTGAAATTCTGGGGAGAAAACTGGTAGAAAAGAATTTTTCTTTGGTTTCTCCTGTAGGTATTGCCATGGCCAGTGATGACCCTGCAAAGGGGACACAAGACTCTTCCTTTGGCAAAACAAATGTGACGGTCTATCACTGTGAGAGCAATGTATGCGAATCAAGCAATGACAAAGACTGTGCAAAAATCGGTGAAACACAAAATAAGACATTTTCAAATGAAATAATTCAGTTGGTGACCAGTGACACGCAGATCACCATGTGCTTTCATCGAGGAAATACGATTCCTGAAGGAGTTTATGCAGTCTTCTGGGAGAAAGACATGGGAGCGGGACACTCATGTGGCATCCTGAGTTACAAAGGTATGCTCTGCTGGGAACCTGGCTATACACTAATGGAGGACATGTTTTGGTTATGAAACTGAACTGTTGTGTATTTAAGCAGACAGCAAGGCACAGGAGTAAGCAACTTCTGAAAATTAATTCCTTTCGTGATAAAGTCGTTGAGTCATTCACAAAAATGAATTCAGTTCTCTCAGGTCAAACAGTGCTTAAAATACACTAGGAGCAATTCCGAGAGATGCGGGTCAGGGAGGAAGCTGGAGGAAGCTGTTTCTCCCGTAAGCAGAAAAGGTAAAAGGTGTAAGTATTAATAGTTCCCCTAGATGGCCCCCGCGGTACAGAGCCGGCAGCGGTGCGCGGTACATGCACCGGGTTGTTTGCCTGACCAGCGGTTCGGTCACGCTGTAAGCCGGTATCACAATGAACCTTCCCTTAAATTCACATGCTGAGCTTGATGTGCTGTGGCATGGAATATCCCTTTGACTCGCTTCGGTCAGGTGTCCTGGCTCTGCTTCCTCCCTGCTTCTTGTGTCCCTCTTCACTGGCAGAGCGCGAGAGACTGCAAAGTCCTTCATCAGGGTTAAGTGCTACTGAGCAACAAGTGGTGTGTAACCAGCGTTGTTCTCAGACTAAAGCCAAAGTACAGCACTGTACAGCTGCTAGAAAGAAAATTAACTCTCCCAGCCAAAACCAGCACAGTAGGAAGGAGTTTCCAAGAATCTCTTAGAAGAGGAGTAAGTTGTATAGAGCCCAGTGGGGACAGGCTGGGTGAGAGATGCGCTCTGGGGTCTGAGATTTACCCAGCTGCTGGTCTTGCTTGTTCCTCTTTTTTGATTCCTGTGGGTAAATGGGGGTTGCAAGGTTTTGTTATCATTTGAATGGATTTTAATTGCAGAAAGGTAATGAGACACTTTTTACAAATATTTTGTTGGTTTTATTATGTGTGAAAACTTTTTTGCTTTCTCCAAATTTGAGGATTTCCATTATTGGCTCCCAGAACAATTCACAGTTTAAGGGAAAAGAAAAGCTAACTGTTAATTTGAACAGTTGGTGAATTAAACATGGTTGCAAGAATCTCCAACTACTTGTGGTAAATGGAGGGCCCGCCTGTGTTCTAGCCTTTTTAACCCTCGATTGAAGAGCTTATAAATGATCCATCTTTATAACTAAAACTTCTTCTGTCTTTCGGCTTTCTTGGAAAATGGGTCGGGTACCATCATTACAGAGGAGGTTAAAATTTGCTGCAAAACAAGCACAAACCTCTCAGTGCCCAACCATACCTTGAGGTGCTACACTGAAGTGTTGAAGGAGGAACCCAGAAAATCAACAACTACCATCGCTGGTGAGGGAAATCAAGGTAATAGCTTCATGTATGTGTTTGCCTTTTACTTTGAGGGAGTTTTGCCTGGACAGCTGTGAACAGAGTTTCACATGGGTGGCATGGGGAGATGTACTGAACCTTCGTACCTTGGACCCACACATGCTGTAGCCATCCAAACTCAAAGACTTTCCACTAGGCCCTGTAGGTGCCCAGTCCTGGACTTACGTATCCATAGCTACAGGTTTCTGTGACTGTAGCGGTGTAGCTGTAGATACAGGGATGCTGAGGGGTCATGATGGCTGTGCAACAAGTTTCCAAGAATTCCACTTAACAGTAAGTGATAAATGAGACTTCACCTCTAGACTAAGAGGGCATTTGTCACATACAGGTATTTTGGTATCCAAATTTCTTTCACTGTAGAAATCCCTAGCATCTTCCTTAGGTTATGGACAAACAGGGCATCTTTGCTTGAGACCAGTAAACACTATTTAGTCTCTTCTGGAAACAGCCCTTAGTAAGGGTATGGCTTTTCTTCACTCTTTGCTCTGATGTTTGTTTGGTGAGGTTTTTTTTGGTTTTGGCTAGGGGGTTGTTTCTTTTTTTTTGTAATTTTTGAATGTTTGCTGGATGATTCTATGATTTCTCTTCCAAATTGGACCAGTATTAAAGCAAGCTTTCTAGATATTTGTATGTTTAAATTCCCGTGCATTGAAGTGCTTTAAAAATGGTCAAAATGGATTTCCCATGTGGCCTTTTAACCCACCACTAAGGATGGATTTTGTCCCTTTTCATTTTGTTTTTTTTCAGTTGAGATGGAGGTTCAAAGGTACCTGTTGTGGTGGGGAGTCAAGGATTAGCTTCAAATGTTAATAGCCATTATTTTGTTACAGGCATCTTCATTGATGTGAGATGATATTAAAATACCCTAAGCCAGAGGCTGTTTGTTCTCTCATTCATCAGTTCCTTTTCTCATAGTCAGCTTTTGCAGAAGCACCAGCCCCAGTTCTCCCTAGGTGCTGCTTCTGAGGCAGGCTTATTTCTTGGCACACCTGTTTGAGTCACATGGACTTTATTTTCTTCTGCTCTCCAGATAATCCTCAGTATTTGGTCACTGAAAAGAGCAACGTTGGCATCATCACCACAGTAACAATTCTTGTGCTTTGTGCAGCAGCAGCTCTGGCAACATGTTGTGTGCTACAGAAAAGAAACGGTACAGTCTGACAAAATGTGATGCTTCCTATGGGTAACATGCCTTGCAAGCAGTGCTGGTAGTAGAAGCAGCATACAGGGTTTTCTTTCTGGATCTCATTTCCATAACAAGTTGTTAAATTATATTCATTGTGAAGGGGAGGCTGGGCTAGCAGCTGGTAGGAATTCCACCACTGCATTTGCTGCCGTGACACAGGACCCAGTCAGCTGCTTTACTGAGAAAAATAAGCACAGAATACATTTCCTCATTGCTACAGTTACCCATCTAAGTGACTGCCCTGCTCAGCCTTACCCCTATGGGATCCAGCTCCTTGGAGCGGGCTCAGACTGCAACATTGCTGTGCAGCTTTCCCTGCAGAGACGTATCCCGGCCAGGAGACTGCTGATATCCAGACATGGACTGACAGGTCCTTTAGGTGGAAGGTTCCCACTCACAGCTCTGCCTGATAAAGAGCCAATTTAAATTTAAGAAAGGATATTTTCCTAAATGCATCCAAGTGGGGAGTTTGTTTTACAAAGTAATATGCATGGAAAGGGGGCCAACAAGAGACTTTTGACAAAAGCATGTGGCAATGGCTTTAAACTCGAAAGGGGGAGACTGAGATGAGCTCTTAGGCAGAAGCTCTTGCCTGTGAGGGTGCTGAGGTGCTGGCACAGGGTGCCCAGAGAAGCTGTGGCTGCCCCATCCCTGGCAGTGTTCAAGGCCAGGTTGGACACAGGGGCTTGGAGCAAGCTGCTCTAGTGGAAGGGGTCCCTGCCCGTGGCAGGGGTTGGAACTGGGTGAGCTTTAAGGTTACTTCCCACCCAAACCATTCTATGAAAGGGCTGGGATAGGCTCCGTGGAGTGAATAAGGAGTCATGTGAGTAAAATCACTTGGAAATACCTGCCTTTTGCTCTTCCTTCCCCCACACCACAGAGACTGCAATATTCTTAAAGTGAGATGATATTAAACCTCCTCATACTTCAGAACAGTTGTACTACAGTAGAGTATAGAACTTGAGATCCAGCTGTGCTGTCATGTGGCAAAGGATCAGACCTGCCATATGTGGTGGGGTTTCGTACAGGTTCACAAGGCCTGTGAATCTCTTGGAGATGGACACCAGTGAGTTGCTCAGGCATTTCAGATACATATCCACTGGGGAAAAACAACTGCAAATTTGTTAGTTTTAATTCTTCTAAGTAAATCTTTGCTAATGCCGGTACTTTACCTTTTTGCTGTTGTTGTTTTTTCTAGGAACTGTCATAGTGCTTCGTCAGACCTCATGGTAAGATTTGATTTTAATCAAACTACATTTAATTATGTTAAATGGTGAAATCACATTACTAGAGTGGCAGGAGGGTGGTCAGTGAAAGACTAGATATGTTGACTAGGACCGTGTTCAGCGGATGCCCATTTCCTCCCTGCATCAAGTCTGAGTCAATAGATTTTAGCTCATGAGTTTGCAGTGGTTCCACTACTCATGTGTTGATCATGTGCACGCTTCTATAGACACCCCTTGACATACAGCTTCCTCCTGTATCTTATAACCAACCTGGCACCAGGGTTTATGAGACAATGTGTAATGCCAGAAGCTGAGACATCTCTTAATTCCCGAACTAGTCCATCCTGTAAAAATAAATGGTGGGTTCTTTTTCTTTTTAGGAGAAAACAATTAAACAATTAAATTTCTAAGTCTGAATTTGTTTAAGGTTAAATTGTTGGTCAGAATTCAGTTAAAGCTTAAGATTTTTGTCTTGTGCTCCCTTTCTAGTGAATGGAGTGAAATAGCTGTCTTGAGAAGATGATTCATCTCACCTTAAAATGGTTTTAAGATGAAACAGGTGAATTACCTTGTGAAGGTGCCTCCCTGGCAACTCTAAAGGAAGCCAATGGGAACAAGCCGAGATGTTTGAACATCTACAGTTGGACAAAACACAAGGATGCCTGAGAAAAATGAGTTGCACAAGTGTTTGCAAAACTCAATAAAGATAACACTAGTCTCACTGCAGTTGTTACAGTAAGATGTATTAATGGATATATTAGTGTGACAGGTAAAACATTTCCCACTAGTGGTTTCTGTGAGGTCCTGCCCTGGGGTGTAACACTGGGTGATGATCCAGGCCTGTCCTAGAGCCTCTCTGAGGCAAAGGCTGCTGGGCCACAGCAAGCAGGGCAGGGTTTCAGCAGAGATGCCATGAACTTGCTGGGCAATGGAGGTGCAATCCTGTTACCTTTCAGATTTCCAAGCCAAAATACAGACAATTGGATTGTAATTCTTATTGAAATCAACCTGTGCCTTTGGCCTCACATATTTTTCCTTCAATTCTGCAGCTGTTAGAAGACTCGGGAGTGGCTTCTGACAGTTACAGCCTCACACCTATTGGAAAAGCATCCACAAATGAGAATAGCAGGTTTGGTGCTAGCAGCACACTTCTCAGTAGCATCATACAGCATCCAGCTCAAGAAGCTCATTTTGTGAGAGACCTCATGGCAGTTTTCATGAATGTTCCGTCACGAAATCCATATGTTCAGCGAATACCCTTCAGCCACAGTTGTCCAGCTTCAGGCTTTCACGAGCAATACAAGAAGCTCCCTGGATCTCCCATCCCGTCCTGGTGCTTCGCTGAGGACAGCAGGTGCTGCAAGATGTGTGCTGGGCTCAGCAGCCCAGGTGTAAACCAGCTGAATTCTGTCAATGGTTTGCATGACTGAAATGATCAGTCCATGTGAAATTCTGCAGAGAACTGTATCTGTGCTCAGGCAGGTTTTGCTGAACCTTGAGGCGGATGCTCACTGCGTGTCTTCCATTTCATAATGTGATAGCACACCCATAGGTCTTTATTGTTTTTAACTCCCAGGTGATCTCTAGATCAAAAAAAGAACCTCTTACAATCCCTGCATCTGAAGACAGGTTTAGGTATGCTGTGTGCAGGCAGTGTGTGATGAATGCTGCACTTCAGGGATCCCCATTTCGTAGTTGAAATGGTTTATCATTCACACTTGGTTCAGTTAAATCTCCAAAAGTTTATTACACCTAACCTAGCTTCAGGCTTCTCCTGGGTTCAGCTGTAGCAGTTTTTTCTCCTTCCTAGTAGCAGGTGCAGTGCTGTGTTTTAGACTTTACCCTAAGAACAGCGCTGATAACACTCTGATGTTTTAAGTTGTTGCTCAGTAATGCTTACCCCGATCAAGGACTTTTCAGTCTCATGCTCTGTCAGTGAGGAGGGGCACAGGAAGCTGGGAGGTAGCAGAGCCAAGAGCCAGGACACCTGACCCAAAGCAGCCAAAGGGGTATTCCATATCACAGCAAGCCATGCCCAGTATAGAAACTGGGGGGAGTCACCTGGAAGGCCCAGATCACTGCTTGGGTCGGGCTGGGTATCAGTCAGTGGATGGTGAGCAATTGCTTTCTCCTCCTTGTTATTTCCCATATCATTATTACTGTTGGTGGTAGCAGTAGTGGGTTTGTGTTACACCTTAGTTACTGGACTGTTCTTAACCCATGGGGTTTACATTCTTTCCATTCTCCTCCCCATGCCGCCCAGAACTGGGGGGAAGGAGGAGAGGAATGAGTGAGCGGCTGCATGGTTCTGAGTTACCTGTCAAGCTTAAACCATGACAAGGCTTTTGGGCAAAAAGGAGCAGCAGCACGACTGGAAAAGCAGGTCTGTGTAACAGTGTGAACACTTGTGGAATCACTTTTACATAGTTTAATTACCCATAAACCTGTAGCTGAAACTTCCAGCAGGAAATCTCAAAGGATGTGGGTTGTCATGTGACTCTCGAAATTTGCTACGATCAAATCTAAAGGGAAAAGTTCATAATGAAAGACATCCAAAAATATGTTATTAATTAATGTCAGAAATGCAGAAAAACCGCTGTGCTTCAATTTGTTTCTTGTTTGGCACAGCGGACGAGTGCTGTTAGGAGGTGGTTTTCCCTCCCCAGTGGAGGCTTTACACTCATGCTGATCTGAGATACCCTTTTAACTCAGCTGTCAGCTTATTTGTTGGATTTTGTCTTTCTAGTTTTAATGTGGTGGAATGCAGGCAAAACATCATGAAGAGATGGCAATCCCCAGCTATTCAAAGGCTTTTAGGTATTTACTGATTATGTTTTGATCCAGTTAAAATAACTTCTTCATGTTATGTTATTATGTTCCATCATGAAGAATGTGATAGTATAGTTATTCAGTAAGCCAGAGCTAAGGTTGCCCATAAAGAATCCAGACTGTACAAGAATTTAGAGGTAGAAGGAAAAGACTTTCCCTCTTTACACAGCACCTTAACACAGAACAGGGCTGCTGCAACTTTTCAATGGAGTAGAGCTGAGTCTAAAAGGAGTGAGTGAGGAAGAGGTTTTTTGGGGTAAAAGACATCCTTTTTGGAGGTGATAACATATCAGCTGCTATAGGCTGGGAAAGGAGCACTCAAAATGGGTATAGGCCTTTCAGTTTTTGGCCGCACTGTAGGTATCACAAATGCTTTAGATTCTGCTTCCCTCTGCTGTAAATTGTTGCTGTGGGTGCCTTCGAGGAAGTGCCGATTGCTCCAGCGTACGCAGTCAAGCTGCATGCCGAGATTCTGGAGATTTCCAGTGATGCACACATTGTTTTCCTACACCTAGAAAAATCCTGTCTTCAAATTGAAGGCTGTGGCAGTGTGGTGCACGATGTCACGGACTCCATGGGGCTACGGAATTGTTTCTTTGACGAAGTCTCTTGATTATATACTTTAAGCTTACAAGGGCGTTATGAGGAAGAACCAATAAAACCCCGCCGCACAAATATTCCTCTACATGTTACTCAGTTACCATTTTTCTAACCATTTCCTTGTTACTGTTGCTAGCTGATACATGCTTTAGAGGTAGCAATCTGTGTTATTGCTTAAGCAGTCATCGCTCTCACAGATTATGTTTCTTTTATGACCACATAGTGGTTAAGCACAAGGTATCTTCTGCTCCCAGAACTTCCTATTTGAAACAGTCTATGAGGAACAAACATTATTTTTCTCCTTGGTCCACTTATGCCAGCACTTTGTGGTTAGCCTCGCATGTGCAGCTGTGTTCTGTTCTAAAGATGGTCCTCAACATGGCAGCTCTTTTGTATGGTCTATGTATACACACAAACGTGTGTGTATAGAAAAACCTCTGGGTGTGTGTATCTGGTGTTCAAATTGCTGGCTGACACTGGGTGGTTTTGGTCTAAACTCAGATTTTGAGTTGTTTGGAAAAGGGACAAAATGATATTTGAGAACTCACATGGTATTAATTTGAGGGATTCAGGTTTAATGATGTGCAGATTTGATTTCTACTCTTTAGCACCGGTTGGGGCCAGAGAGCTGATCAGTCACACTCCTTATGGCTCACTCAAGCACATTTTCATTTTGGTTTCTTCTTTCTACTGATGATTGCACAGATTGTGATATTCAGAGGCATCGATGCCAGCTGTTTCACTTTGCCCCTCCTGAACTGTATTGTGCTGTTAGACACCAATTATCCCACCTCTCAGGAGGAACAGCTTTAAAAATCTACAATATTTGTTCTGGGAAGCTGCACTGTGTTGTTCTGCAATATACAAATATAGGAAAATAGTTGTTTATGAAAAAAGATGGCTCTGGCTCGCCAAACGCCATCATTTGGTATTTGTAATTTCATTTTAATGTTTGTTTTTTTTTTTATTTGTGTTGTTATTCTATTCACAATGAAACAACTTAAAACCTCACTATTCATTGGTAACCCTCTGTTGATGTGTCGTTACTTGGTATGTTAATCTCTTTTACAAAGCATCACCATTAGATGATTCACAAACTCATAATCCAGTACTACTGTCATGATTCGCTTAAATATTACTAAAGCAAAGACAGGGAGTAAGAGATATCTGCTTTTGTGTCCAGTCGTGAGCCTCTCTAGGGCTAATTGAAGGGTCATTTCACAGCCTGCCTGAACTCTGTTTCCTTTACAATGACTGATGGAATGCCTAAGCTTCCAAGCATTCAAGAAACTCTTTGGGAATGCACCCCTTTCCTGACGTCTTCACACAGAGAACAAAGCAAGAGGAGTTTTTCAGCACATCGGGGAGAGAGCAGGAGCCACATGTGAACTGTGGCAGAGACTCCCTGGTTACCAGCTGTCATGCTGCAGACACTACAGAATGTGTCATTAAATGTGAAGGCAGGAGGCATGTGAAGAGGTACAAGAATTTAAGGTTTATCTGAAGTAAGGGAACATCTCTCAGCTACTCGCTCTTTACAAAGCCAAGACATTTGCACCAACCAGCCAGTGGGAAAACTGACCACTGAACTGATTGTACCGAGCGTCTACATTTCCAGCAGGGACCCAACTGGGAGATCATTGCCTGAGTTGAACACTGTGAAGAGCAGCTTCGAGCTTATTTTTCCTCAGTTGATTGTAAAGGGCAGGTAAGTGCTCACTACAGAGCACTGTTTAAAGTCCTGCCCTCAGGGTTGGGGGTTGTTCAGTAGTAGGAAACCGTGGGTGTTTTAAGTGTGAAGTCAAAACCAAGGTGCACCTCTGGAGAGAAATCTCCCCCCACCCTCCATCACATTCATTATCATACTAAACTGAAAGCCGCACATTGCTAAACTGCCTTCAGTAAACAGCTGGTGTAGCTGGAAGAAAAGAAGGCAGTTGTGGCTTACAGCACTTTGGGTCTTGCTCTCATCAGTGAGACAATAGAGAACAAGTAAAAAGACCCTTGAAAATGCCATGGATATGTCTCCTAACTGCATTGCTCTTTCTTCTGCACCTCCCGTGCTTCCCTGGCCAGAACGGTATGTACAGCACAGATGCTCTTGCACTTCACAAGTCTAAATCTTTTCTTTTCTTTCCTACCTTCCGCTCCGCCTTGGTCTGTCTCAAGCAGGTTCCTGGCAAATTCACCAGCAGCAAAAGAGAGGTGGAACCTTGGGAAACATTCTGTGAAATCATCGGATGAGATTTTAGAAAACAGCTTAAAAATTGTGTAATCTGAACTTTTCTACAGAGAGGTTGTGCACTGTGGAAGCAGTGCATTCCCCAGGGATTCCCCCAGCTGTGGGAATTACTGGGAAATTTCCCAGAATTCGCAGTAATGAACTGAGTCTGTATTGCTAAGGTTGACAGGGGAGCCCACTACTGGATAGAAATGAGTATTGATATATACTAGAGACAAAATTATTGAAGCCTTACCAGAAATATCCAATGCTAAATATTGTTGTAGCTATTGAGAGTACAGGCTGGAGGCAGTAAAACTGGTGAGAATATTTTGCCCTTTTTTCGTTAATGTTTGTTGAAGGGACAATACTGATTTGTGCATCAGGATGATGGAGATGGATTTCCTGGGCTTTCCTTCCCCATTTGTAAAGGCTGAGTGCTCTGTACTTCTCCAGCTTTCTCCATAACCCTTTTTCTCTGCTGCTCTGGAAGGTAATTGCTGACAACTCCTGGGTTGCCTTAGTTCCTTCTTTAGGTGTTGTAGGAGGAATGTCTGATGAGGTCAGATTGACCGACTGTATCAAAATTCCATGATCTGGTCTTTCTGTGCTTGTTCCTTTATTAAAACTAATTGTTTTAAGTATGTAGGGATCCTTAATTTGCTTGTCAACAGTGAGTAATTCTCCCTTTTCTAGACTATGTTTGTCCTAGATATGCAATACTCTACATTTCATTGGCCTGCCCTTGCTTTTTAATGTCATTTCTTTTAGGTGTTTCCTGTTTGATCCCTCTGTTCCTTGCTGTTCATTGCATGAGTACTTACTGGTCAGATTCTTTTGCTCTCAAGGTCATTTGGGGACTCAAAGGGTCTCATTACATATTTTTATACCTTTGTTTCTTACCATAGGCTGGAATTGCACCTTCTGCAATTCTCTTCCTAAGAGGCGACATTATCCACTTGACTGATGCTGCTAAAGCCTCCTTTCTTTTTGTTTTTTGAAGTGTAGTTTTCTTCCATTCTCTGCTATTTTTTGATACTTTTGTATTCCAGACTTTGCTCCAATTATTGGGCTGAGTTCAATGAAGCTTGTATTTTGAGAATTAATGGGATCATACTGGAAGCTACAGAGCAGACTAAATATTTTTAATGAGTAACAAGCCTCTTTTTTTGCTGAGGCATGAAAATGTTGAATTCCACAGGTCAACAGGCATGAAAGGCACTATCGGCTTCAGGGCAGCCAAGAGACGATGGGTGCACAATAGCAAGGGCAAGGTCCAGTCTCAAACAGCAGTTCTGCTGACGGACTAGTTTTGGAAACTACTCTGATATTAAGAATAGATTGAGAAGAACACTGATATTACAATTCCAATTTCATTTCTTATTTTTAGGTGGAGAAAATGAAGAGTCAACAGACATTATCAGTGTTCACGAAGGAGAAACCATCAGCATAACTTGTTCAATTAAAGGTTCAGAAAATGAAGTGGGAACATACTTGACAACTAGCATACAGCCTGTCAATGTGGTATATGTTTCCAAGCAGAATACTTCATATATCCTTCCTGCTTTGGCTAACCGCACCAAGTACTCAAAGGAAGGAAGCAATCTCAGGATAACTCTGCACAATGTACAGGAATCGGATTCTAATATCTATCAATGCAGTACATATGTTAAAACCAAAAGCTATCACAAAAAGCTGTTTGGGAAGACAACCATAGTAGTGGTAAAAGGTACTGCACCTTTTCTGTCATGAACTAATAAATATAGCTATATATTTGAAATCAAAGATTGAAAGAAAGCATAATGGGAGAGAGAGTCTGACAGGACTTTCCCCATGTCTGCTCAGGTAATGTACTGGTTTAAAGGAAACTGTGAGTCTGTTCTGTGAACAGATGAAGAAAACACTTTAGATAGAACAGTACCAAGAAAACCCCCAGAACATCAATCCACAACAAATTTAACCCTAGCTATGGGTTTTCACATGAGTCATAGGTTGCTGCAGCAGTTTGGAAACGGCGAGGACAGTCAGCTCTTTCCAAAACAATCTTTCCAGTCTCTATGAATAACTAGGAGACAATGAGCTGGTTTTTGGCAGTGATTTTTACTAATGTCTTTTTCTTTTTATTATTACATCTTACGGGAAAAATTCAAAACAACTGGGAAGTTGGTGCTAGTCAGGGTTTGCAAGCTGGGCATCAGTGGATAAAGGGATGTGGGGTTTTTCTCTTCTTACCAAACAGTTGATGATGGGCACGAGTGCTCCTTTTGCCCACGTTTCTGATTAGAGATTTTTCCCTCTTTAAATCTTTTTATTGTAAGAGGGTTGTGTCCCCAGTATTCTCTTTGGCAGCTAGGTCCTCTACATCCCTGCCCTGCTGATGAGAGCCTCTAAACTGCTACAGCTTCACCAGAAATCGCAGGGTTTTCTTACTTTCCTGTCCCCAGGGCATGCAAAACATAATTGATTGCGGGGCCAGTAACAGCCATTTGTATCTATGAAGAGTTATCCTGTCCTTCCTTAGGTTTCCCTTCTCAAACTTTTTGACTGTTTTCTCACATGAATTCCATCTTGTTGATTATGTACTGTTTCTCCAAATTATTTTATTAAATTACCTTGTATCTCTTTGGGATTCTGCCCCTTTTCTCTATAATGTTTGCCGCCTTCCCAGAATTACCTTTTGTACAAATGTGATGAATTCTGTCTTCAGTCCCTCATCCACATTAGTTAATGTCAGAAGGGATGGGGCTTGTCCTCAGAGGAACTCGGTGAAACTTGTCTTCCCAGCTGGACAGCAAGCCATTAATAACTGCTTTTTGGAGAACACTTTCAACACTCATGGGACCCACACTGTATGATTTCACCCAGATCAATGGTCTCCAGATCTTGCTGTATCTTAATCTCATGTGAGAGAGCAGGCAATAACCCATTTCTCAAAGGCAAGCTGATGTAGCTGTATTCCCTTAGAAGAGTTCAGTACAAAAGATACGTATTTTGTAGGCAGGTGGAGACCTTTTACAACCAGGTAAACGTGTTTGATCCATCCTACTTTCAGCAAAAGCATGCCAGGTGGCTCGCGAGGCACGCCTAAGGGTTGCCTCTAAAGAAATAATTTCACCTAAATTTCTGTGGTCGTTTTTTTCTGTCCTTGACTTCTGTGTTTAAATCACTGTATTTAATAGTTCAACTGTACGGTGTTAAGTATGTGGTAGCCATTAATCTCTCTTGTTCTTAGGTAAACCCAGTGGGATTGTTGAACAGGCACCGCTGTATGTGAATCCTCAGCAAGGCCAATCTGTCAGCATTACCTGTGCATTGAAAGCCTCACGTGAAGATGAAAGGATCTACTACTTGCTCAAAACTCACATGCAGCCTGAACCAGTGCTGTATGTTTCGAGTCAGAATACTTCCACTGTTTTTCCTGCTTTTGCCAATCGCTTGGAGTATTCGAAGGAAGGGGAGAAAATCGTGATAACTCTACACAACCTATGCAGAAATGACAGCGACATATATGTATGTGCTGGAGTGGTGAAAAACTCTTCTTTCCTCTCAGTGAATAGAAGTGGCACCATGATGCTGATTAAAGGTATCCTTTTACTTGTTCAATTGTAAAAGACTGTAGGCAGGTTGTAAGACAAAAGCTGGACCTAAAGCTTGCAGAACCTTAGTGAGGACAGGGGAAGCACTAATCCATGGCTAGACTTCTTCCAGTACCTGGGGAAGCTTGGAGAGTGTGCTCAGACTCCTCTACCCTGTTGTCCTAGGACACAGCCAAGCACTATGTTCCTACCTGCCTTGTGCAACCAGAGGGGAATTACAAAAGAAAAGAGTTGCTACAATCCTGCATCTTAAAAATAAACCAAGTTCAGAATCAGATAACAAACATTCCATTGTGTCTGTGAATAAGCCGTCACTTTTAGGGAATTAATTGGTATTTTTAGCATCAGTTCTTTGACCTTCATGTGACATAAATGTCTTTTAGAAACCATTCTCTATAGTGACTCTGTGTTTCAAAATAGCTCATGCTAGGGAGTATGGAACAAGTCCTCAGGCACTTACTTAAAGTACCACAGATAATAGCAGAGACGATCTCACACACCCTTATTACACACTGAGCACTCTGGGAGCATGATCCAAAGAGAGGGGTGGTTTTTTTTTCTGCAGGATAGTGGTGTAACCGTTTGCTATACAAAGACAAACCCAGCAATATAGTGCTTGGTTTTGACCTTACCAGTGTCGTTTAACCCTGTGCACTGGGCTGTGATGAGATCTTTGGGTAATTAAAATAAGCTTTACACAGGCCCTAAGAGTTGCAGAGGATTTGTCTTCAGTCTGCAAAAAAGGCTGTACTCTCACTCTGTGCTGCTGGGCCATAACTGGTGCAAGGGTTCAGTAATGTGGATTGGGGAAAGCAGCATCTGCACATCAAGGAAGCATCGTGATTACCGGTATTATGTTATTCAGAGATGGATTAATCGAGCTTTTAACCCTTTCCACCAGCACCGTTGTGCTCAGTGTACACACTTCAGATCACAGTAGCCTCCTCCTCCTGTTATTCTGCTTGCAAACCTAGCTGTTTGCTGTAACTCCTATATACTCCTGGCCAAACCCTCAGCACTGTTTCCTGTTTCATTTTCTGTTTCCATTACAAGTGTGTGGTCCTACTTCTGATCAGTGCTATAGAAGCTACCACCTTTGTAGAGTGCTTCTCACTGACCTCCCCCTGCCATGCCATCCCTAGAAAAGCACAGAGAATAGCAGTAGGCAATAATAATGGGATGACAAATGTGGCTCTGTAGCTTGCTGTTGATAATTGATTTTTTGCTGACCAGTGAATAATATTTTATTCATACCAAAAATAGAATTCTACCTCTTCATATTTATAACACTGATATAATTTTACATGCAGAAGGAGAGCAGGCAGACTGCGAGAAATGTTCCTGGCTCATCTATGTTCTTATCACCATGGTCACTCTCCTGTTTTCCGTGCTGATGTGCTGCACCTTGTACCGTGTTGATGTAAGTTGTTGTGGTGCCAAAGCAAAACCGAATCCAGGTGCAGTGAATAGGTGCTTTTGATATTCTTTGTAAACAGTGACAGCCAAGCAAACATTTGATAAACCTTAAGAATCATGGCTTTCTGTTGTCTCCTCTTTGCCCTTGGTTAATGTCTCCTAGCTGTAAGCTCTTGGCAGTAAAGACTGTGTCGTCTTATGTTTCTGTAACTCTTAGTAAATGAGATACTGTTTGCCTTTTGAGACCAAGCCTCACAGTCAATAACACAGCCATGTGTTTGCACGTATTTCCCCGAACAGAGCACCTCATTATTCTGTTTCGCTGCTTTGTTTTGTTAGTTGGGAATGGGACTGTGCACACTAACCTTGTATTAGACGTAAAGAGGATGTTTGGAGGAGAGCACAGCATCATGCCTGAAAGTTGCTGTAGGAGAACAATTTTACGCTGTCCTAGAAGAAAGGCCAGCAAGATTTTTTTGCCTTTACTGGTGTTATTTACACTCATATCGTGCAGCCAGTGCCCAGAAACTGTCTCTTCTACATCCTTCTGCTCTATAAAAATGACCCAAAATTGACAGAGTATGGCTCACAGACCAGACCCTTATCTTGTCCCTTCACTTCAGCACTGCTAAAACCCAGTGGTATAACATCATTCTTGCAAAGCCAAGAGGCCTTTTGGGAACTGTCCCTTGTGTAACCAGTAACAAACTAAGGATATTCCTTATTTGTGCTGGGGCCAAAGCTGCGCCCAGCTCTTGAAGGAACTTTTGGTGAAATTACATCAGACTGACAATAGACAGTTAAATAAATAGGTTGACAATTTCCACCTATGGTCTAAGCCCTCACTGGCTGATGAGAGGCAGCTGGAAAGTACATTTCCATTTCAGACAGATGGACTCTGAGGTGTAAACTGACTCCTTGGTCAGAGTCTGTTCAAGTTCGGTGCTGAATGGCTCTTCGGTTTGTTTTGCAGGTGAAGAAGTATTTCCAGAACAACCCCCCAAATACAGTGTACGAAGACATGTCTTACAGTGTTAGACAACACACCTCGCGGACAACCAACGCTTACTCCATTGACAATTAAGCTTCTGCCAGCTGGGACCATGCATGGATCAACCATTCCTTTACAGGTCTCCCTCAGAGCTGCCTTAGCAACCTGATGTGGTAGCTGAACTGAAAAAATGCTGTCACTTACCTTCTTCAGAGGAAAGAAAAACCTGCCTCATTTCCAAAGCTTTTTCTGGTTTTTGATCACTTGTAATTTCGGTTTTTTTTTTGGTTAATGTATATAAAATGTACAGAAATGCAGGTACCCTGCACATGTGTTTGCAGTTTAGGATGGAATGCAGTGTTTTTTGGACTATACTTTCTGGCTGGAGGCAACATATGGACTCATTTCTTTGACTGATCAATAACCTTTTCAGGGAAGGTGGGATAGATGATGGAGAGGCCTGGCTCTGAGCTTTGTAACTGCTCAGAAAGACTGTAAGATGCAATGGATCCACATATGCGCGGATTGTAGTTCTCTTGTGAATCCTCATGGGTCTGCCGGAGAGCTCAGGTAGTGAAAACTACTCAAGAGTTACAGCAGAGAAATCTGTTCTCAAGAGACCTCAGACACGTTGTGGCAGAGCGTGGTACGAGTGAGGTGCTGCCTGTGTGGGAGATGCTTACGCAGAGAACATAATGGCTGGATTTCAAATTACGGCCTTTGTCAGAGATACTGGTGTGATTGCTGCGGGTCTTGGTGTGGTTGACATGCAAAAGGACCAGACTTGGGGCATGGGGGCATTATGGGGCAGCAGGAATATTAGTGATGTGCTGGTGTTGTCTCAAACTCCAGAGCGTTTAGGACTATACAGCTGAATGCATTTCTCCAGGTCAGTGAGCCTACACAGTGCAGTACAAGGTGAGCTGATCTGAGATAAAGCCAATGCCTGCACTCCACGCTGGGTGCGGGTAAGTCAGATCCAAATCTCTTAAAAAGGAATTTATCAAAGCCATCAGTCAGGTGGGAACTAAGTTTGGCTTAGTAATGGCTTAGGACAGGTCGCTATGATGAGCTTAACTCTCCTCTAGCTAAACAAAGGCTACAGCTTTCTCTGGGGTGCCTTGGTTTTACAAAGCTGTGTCTGCTGCAGAGAGTCAATAGTTTGCATACCCAGAGGAATATCAGATTGCGCTGTCCCGAGGCAGGATCGAGGGCTTGACGTGTGATTCCTGGGGACAGGCTGACACTGGGATTTTTCTTTACTGATGTATTTGTTTAGATTTTAGGGATTAGGGCTGGTTTGCCATTGATGAGAGCTGGAGCGGAGCCAGGCACAGGGGATTCCCCCTCTCCGAGGTGAGCTCTGCTGAGATTCCAGCTCGCTGAGCCAAGGCTGCCACTTAAGAGAGCCCATTGCCTTCCAGATCTTACTCCTGAAATGCTGTGCAACAGACCCGAAGGGGAAATCTGCGCATGGGGGTGGCTGATGGAGGGGGTTTTACCTTGTAAGAGGTGTCTGTTGCTTGCAGACCCCGTGGTCTTCACATAGCTGTACCTGAATGAAATTATGTTTATGACCGGGGCTTTGTAGAGTTGCTCTGTGTTTCTATACATCTATTAAAGACTTTCATATATCTTGCAAATGAACACTAGTCATTGAGGGGACTGTTTCTCTTAGTGTTTTGTTTGGTTGCTGTGGTTTTTTTTTTAAATAGAGTTACTCAAAGGCTCGTTCCAAAACGCTGCAATGCAACGCCTCAATAGACAGCAGATTTTCACCTTTATTCACCAAATCTGTGTGGGTTTGGGCGGTTTGGGGTTTGTTTTCTTTTTGTTTTAAAACTAAGCACTGAACAAAAATAATACCAGAGATCCTGGGGGGAACAACAGCATCTGCACTGGGGTCACTTGGAAGGCCCTGACCCAGAGGGGACTGGCCCAGAGCAGACCCTGAGGGTCACAGCACAGGGGAGCCCGAACGTCCCCTGCAGCATTTAGAGCAATTCTGTCTGGAGCAGCCCCAGCTCAGGTGTGGATGTAGAGCTGGGGAAGACGATCTAACAAATTAGATACCAATCTAGGAACTAAAGTGCCCAAATCAGAAGTAATCACTTCTTATCCGTTCTTATTTGTGAGAAAAGGTGCAGGTTTAGCAGAGAAGGGCAATACTCCCAGGGAGACAACGTACAGAGGCTCAGCATGAGCAAGCTGGCACTAGAGATCAGCTTTCTGTAGCAATGCTATTGGGCAAACATGACCACAGTGATTAAAAAAGAGAAGCTGTGAAAGGAAACAGCCGTGGAGGTGGTTGCTTTGGCTTTTATAAATAAAACCTAGCTGAGGAAATTGCCACTGAGTGAGACATGGCCTGGGTTGTAGCTGTGTAAGGGAATAGAGAATCAACCCCACAATCAACCCAAGCAGTGGTGAATGAGCTGCTTGAAGAGAATTGCTGGGGAAATTAGCTCAACAATGTCACAGAATCATAGAATGGTTTGGGTTGGAAAAGAGCTTAAGAACATCCAGTTCCAACCCCCTGCCATGGGCAGGGATGCCTCACACTGGAGCATTTTGCCCAAGACTGTGTCCAGCCTGGCCTTGAACACTGCCAGGGATGGGGAGCAGAACTGCAGCTCTGCCATCAGAGTTTACCAAACAGGGATGGAGGAAGCCGAGGCAGCTGAGAAAGGGCCATGTGTTAGGAGCAGAGAAAGCACAACAGACAAGGTACAAGCCATGGCAGAAGTGGCTGAGGAGGCTGGGTCTACATGGAACAGCCTTTGCTGAGCTCTTGAGAAGGGGAGGGCTCATTAGAAATGATCTTTCATTACCTGCAAACCTGGAGTGACCAACCAGCATACGTAGATCACTGCTGGTGGAGCACATGGACTCAGTAACATTGAACTGAGGAAAGCACTTTCACCCTTTGACTAAGGAGTATCTGACAAGTGCATGATTGAATTCAGGTGGCAAGGACATTGATAAGCCAAGCTGAGGCACAAAGCGTTTTCCAGGAGGGCAGTATGTGGGATAGAAGTGTGTCCTCCTCTTGTTGCACCTTGTGATATGCAGTAGGACACTGGATTAGTTCTACTGACTGTCCTGCAAACAAACGTGCTTCCAGCAGCTGTGAATGCTGCATGACTTATTTCTCACACCTGCATTGGTTTTTATTGCCTGGGGTTAGGTTCTCCCACCCATCTGTCACTGGTTGCTCCTTGTGATCATTATTCCATCCACCAACTTACACAGGAGTTTTACTTGGAGGATATGACCAAGCTATGTCCTGGCTCTGCTGAAGGTGAGCTACTGACTGGTGACTTCTGAAAGCCCCTGTGTTAGTGAAAAACCCATTTGCATTCAACATTTGTGAGCACTTGTTTCCCAAGGCATTTAGTTTCTGTTTGAATGTTTGGTAGCACTCAGCTCACGATTCGCAGTCCGCTTACAGTCAAGTTGAAAACACGCAGGGTTTTTCTGGTAGACAGATTTGGCTTTCACACAGTTTAGAGCTCTCAAGTGCTGAAAATGCCTTCTTGGTGCCGCTTTTTTGACCTGACATCTCTGGTTAACACGCTTCTGCTCTAGTTAATGGACTCTCCTGCTGCTGCCTGACACCTGATTTAAAGAGTATTTGTATTGTCATGCATAGTTTTAACAGTATTTGGAATGCTTCAGTAGTGAAGTATTGCCTATGAGCAGCATGCAAGAAATCTTCCAAATGCCACTTGAAATCTTGACAGGTTTTAACTTACTTTTTGGTGTATCACTGGTAGTACATTACTGATCTTACAACTCTCTCAGAGTATCCTACCTTGTCTACAACAGTAAGGCTTAATTGTAAGAGATCAGTTTTCATTCAAGAAAGTGAAATAAAGCAACCAGGCTAAATGCTGAATAGGGTGAATAAACCACTTTGTCCTAAACCTAACATTTTAAAGGGTTGTCTTCATCTCTCTTGCACAAGCGATTATCTCTTCATCTTGACAGGAGGGAACTCTACTGTGTGTAAATAAACTTCTAATAGGGCTGAATGAACGCTCTGGGTGGTGAAGAGTCCTTCCTGTGTTACTACCTCACAAGAACAATTACTTTGCTTTTGGGTGGTATTTGACTGCAACAGCTGGCTGGCACGCTCCTGAAACTCTCCCCAGAGATCATGTCCATGTCCATAGAGAAGATGCCCACCTCAGGTACCACAAATGTCCTGCTACACTCTTGTGCTTCTGACTGTAATGAGAATAATATCCTAACATTGCGAATGCCAAGTGGAAGATGCTCGCTCACTCTTTCTGTGGATCAGTAACAGCAATTAGGAACTCACTCTTTGGTCCCCCTCCTAACGCAGTGGAAAACTACATGTTAGTCTCTTCAAGGAATCTGGCCAAGCTCTGGGGTTCAGGAGCCACTATTGCCCACCATTAAGATGTGAAGGGCTAAACTATGCAGCCTTCTCTCATACAGGTTGTAAAACCTGACTCTGGGGCTACTTGTACAATGCTTTACCAACAGGAGTAATCATTTCATCCTCATACAGCAGAATTTCTTACTCTGCTCCTGTATGAAAGAAGAGAAGGAGAGCTTTGATTTTTGGGTGCTCTTTCTCTACATATAACTGTTTTGCGACTCTGAGACAAGTCTTGTGAGAAACCACAAAGGTCAGCTCACGGTGTGCAAGCTTGCGGGTGGTTGACATTTAAGGTGTAGCTGTGTTCTCCTCTGGCTGAAGGGTGACTGCTGAGGTGACATTTTGCCTTAATGTCCCCGACTTCTAGGAAAGAACCTGATTTCAAAAGCACTCTGTGACATCCCTGTGGATTTCCCTGTTACTCTCATACACTGTAATGCTCATAGTGCAAGCGTTTGTAGAGTCTTGTAGAAGTTCAATGCCAGGTTGGACAGAGCCTTGGGTGACATGGTTTAGTGTGAGGTGTCCCTGCCCATGGCAGGGGGGTTGGAACTGGATGATCTTAAGCATCTCTAACTATTCTGTTCTATTCTGTTCTATTCTGTTCTATTCTAAAGTAGTGTCAGTCGGTGACTGAACACCAACAGCTTTTGGACTCAAATCTCTTTCATAAAGGAAACAAGTTCAAGGTTTCGGGAAAGCCATTAACAAGAAACTTGGCCTGTATGAGTGTCCACACTGCAGATGAGGAAACTACAGCTCCTAATGACTAAAATTAACTGGCTAAACTGAAAACCAGGCTTTTCTCAGAGCTCTACATTCCTCCCTTGCAGATGCTGTTTTGGAAATGAAGTTGTTATAGGCAGAAATGCACAATTCTATTTCTGTCTTAGCCAAAACAGGAAATAGAAGAGAGTTTCTAGGAAGTTTTCTGCTCATAGGGAAACAAAAAATGCAAACTGAGGCTTTGCAACTTTTAGACTTGTTCAGAATTAGGTGAACCAGGAGGGATCCATCCTCAAAAGGACGACCGTTGGTAGCTCGATTCTTTGCTGGTAATCTCACCATTATGATCACGGCAAGTTAGCAAACAGTCTTAGAGCACTGGGCTGGAGGCAGAAATGGGCTGTTCTTTCAAAGCTGGTTACTCAAGGACAAGCTCTAACACTCGGACCTGAGGGCACCACACTGGTGGCAGGAACAATCATACTAAAAGCAATTGCATTCATTAATAACATGCTTCTTCAGCTACATTCTCTTAGGCTGCTCTCATGCCTCAAGATAAA